CCAACAGCCCTGCCACACTCAGGACCAGTGACAGCGAGCCCAGCAGTTCCGACTCCGACGTTGCCAGCACCAGCTCCAGCAGCAGCCCTGCCACACTCAGGACCAGTGACAGCGAGCCCAGCAGTTCCGACTCCGACGTTGCCTGCAGCAGGACCCGCAGCAGCAGCCGTGGCGGCACCATGGCAAGCGAACCCAGCGGTTTCGACTCCTACGTTGCCGGCACCAGCTCCAGCAGCAGCTCTGCCAGAAACAGTGACAGCGAGCGCAGCAGTTCCGACTCCGACGTTGCCTGCAGCAACAACAGCTCCAACAGCAGCTCTGCCAGGCTCAGCAGGACCAGTGACAGCGAGCGCAGCAGTTCCGACTCCTACGTTGCCTGCAGGACCTGCAACAGCAGCNNCTGTGCCAGCTGTGCCAACACCAATGGCAGCGAGCCCAGCAGCCGCAGTTCCAAGTCCTACGTTGCCTCCTTCGGCTCCAGATGATGCGGTGACGAACCTGCTGGCGACAGTGCTGGCCCAATCGGTGCAGAGTGGATCTTCGCTGTCTGCAGAACAGATCCAGGTCCTCCAGGACACCATGGCTCAGCTTAAGATCGTGAACAATGAGAAGGGACAGCAGGTGCCCCCAGCTGCAGAGGAGGCCGAGCAGGCCCCAGCTCCAGTGGATACAAATCCCCCCGCCCCGGCACCCCCTGCTGCGCCGCCAATGCCCAAAGGGGCCTCGGCAGCGCCGCTGTCGGGTCTGCAGCCGCCACCGCCGAAAGCATCTGCACCGCCGGCTGGTTCGACAGCAGTCGTAGCATTGCAGGAGCCTGCAAACAGCTCCACCCATCCAAAGGAATACAGGGCCTTTCAGCGTTTCTGTGAGAACTCGAAGGGTGCAGATGAGATGAGAAAGGTCTGGGTCCAGGGCGGACCCCGTCGGATGGCTGTGTTTTCGCAGTTCGTGGCGACTGGCTGTCACTGGGCTGGCGGTGCAAATCCTTTAGCAGATCATACATTTTCAGCTGCCCTAAACCCTAAAGCCCATACCCTAGTACATAGACCCCTTCTTATCCGCATTGCCTTACGAGTCTAAACCAAGGGATGCTCTAAACCTTTGACGCCGAACCCTAAAGCATTGACCCTTCTTGCTGATTATTTTTTTTTGCACGGGGTGGGGGGGTGCCCTATCTCAAGAACCCAAACCCGATACTATGCCAGCCCTCAATTACTATATTTCTGTTTATAGTTCTGTTGAACTATATATAGAAGTGCATATAGCGGGAGCCCTAAACCCGAAAGGAAACCCTTCTTGTTCATAGGGTCCACATGATTTTAGGCTTTAGGCATATGGTAGTGCGAGGCTTTGACTGGTCTTGAGAGCCCTGTGACAAATCCAAGCCTTCAGTTTCAAATCCAAATTAAGGTCTTTCTTGTTGTGTAACAACGTCATTGTTGTGATCTGTTTGCAGCCGCAAGCAGTGGTTACTTGTGTACAAGGACTTTCGCTCCTGTAGACGACCTAGGTGCTGTTAGTGCACTTGAAACAACCTCTGAATGCCTGAAAGAAACTTTCTAGTACTTTAGTGCAAAGAAGAAACTGTGCGAAATTGTATATGGCAACACCCCTTATTAAGCCGATATTGGACCCCGGTCCCCTGCTGCCATCCAGGTGATCCCTTGGCAATGGAAGCGGCCCTCCGCTTCAAGCGCCAGCGTGAGGAGGAGGACAAAGACGAAGGTGCCCCTGCCAAAATCTGGGGGTACCGTAGAGTTTGCGGTTTTCGAATCGGCTATCAATTACGATAGTCTGCCTGTCGATGCTCAGGTGAATATTACCAGTGGGTTGACATCCTCGCCTTTCACAACAACGACGCTGAGAAGGCGCTGAACTTCATCACCAGAAGGCGCAGCGAACCGCGCGGGACCGGAGCTCCTTATTGTATATGGCAGCACTATAAGCCAGACACTATTGCATGTATGCTTATTGTCATATGCATGCACACGTCAGGACATCGACAGACCGCAACGACCCCACCATCGAGACCTTTTTGTATTACAATCGGCAAAGAAGAACCCTGACGAACAGAACGTTGGAAGCTCCACTGCAATTGTTGCAACAAGTTCGAAGCGATGCACATACGTAACCTCACTAGTTTCCTGCATTCCGACCAAATCAATTGAGGATGAGATAGCCGTGGAGCTGGGGGTTGCTCCCGCCTACGCGGCGAGCGTGGCTAACCTTCTGGACGGACAGAATGGTGCGGTGGGGACCTTTCCCAACTCGTCGGCTGTCCTACCGCCTTCGAGCAGTGGGCTTGCTTTGGAGGACGGAGCAAGCAACAACAGCGGCACTCCTGCCAACACCAAGCCGAACCCGAAGACTAAGCAGCCTGGCAATCAAGGGCAGCAGCCGCCCTCCAAGAAAGCACGGGCTCCGAAGCCGGAGGTGCTCAGTGCATGAATCGCATGATTGAGTCATATAGTCATCATGTGGAATGCTTTTTGTTTTGTCCATGCGGTTGCTTCCGAGGGATCGGACTTGGAAGTCCACGTTTGCGGGGAAGACATTGCCGGCTTCGTTTCGAACTGGTGCACAGCTGCCAACTCGGCCCAAGGACAGGCCGTTAAGTTGTGCGGTGAGTTCCTTGGCTTGGTGCGTTGTGAATTATGTTCGTGCGAAGAGTGAGAGAGTTTCAGAGAGAGAGAGAGAGAGAGAGAGAGAGAGCGAGACTGAAAGCGAGACTCTCAGAGGAAAAACCACATCAGCCGTGTCCTTTGTACTTTATGCTGAGGCTCGAGACTTTGGACTCCCAGGACTCCCTGATCGAGAAATTGAAGGATGCATCGGAAGGGATAGGTCAGTGTCGCAAGCGCCTTCAACAGCTGGGTACAGCTCCAGTTGCAGCCGACGTGCAGACTGTGTTGCTGAGTGTTCCTTGTCGGTAGTAGCCGTGTGCATGTTGAGCATGGTAATTTGTAAAGTGTAATAAACCTAAACCTTAAACCCTATATATATACACATACCCTATATAATTCTTAAACCCTAGGGTTTAAACCTACATATTCTTCGTGTGGTTAGCCAATCTCAGGCAGCGATGTACGTGGAAGCCTACAAGAAGCACACGAGAACCGCAAACTCACTGTGCTTTGGTTTCATTACTATGATAAATGGGCACACAACATATTCATCTGGACGTGTTGTATGCTGTTTCGTATGCAAGTTTCCCTATCCTTCCGCTCAGGATCACACAGGACAGACGCCCGGCAAAGGCGGCGAAGAAGGCCAAGGCATCCCCGGTGAAGCCGGCTGATGCTGAGGAGAAGACGCAGTGAGTGCAGTGGCTTCATCAGTTTGGTTGTTTGATGATCGAGTGAGAAGCTACTTAATAGCCTGGTATGATCGAAACATGCATGATCCTATATGTGGCGACTGCATATCACATGATCACGTGAGCAAGCCTCGACTTT